AAGGATAAGGACTACGATCGCTCCGACAGCTCGATGGACCCCTGGGTTAAAGATATCATCACCGGCAGCCAGGATGACGTCAGATATTACAAAGACGTGAGCGACGTTATAAAGAATCTCGATAATATACTAAACTCCGAAAAGACGTCCAGCTCCGAATCCAGTCATCAGGCGAGTCCTTCCAGAGATAACCTGAGCTTGGAATGCAAGAAAGATTATCCTGTCCAAAAGAGTTTAGTGAAATCCCCCGGGATAACGAATTTCCAGAATATTCTAGAAGTAGGATTCGATTCGGAGACGAACGATGCTTGTGAAGATGAAGGAGATCGAGAAACGATTGGAACATTGAGCCATTCTTTCGAACGTCATAGTGATACGATCAGTCAAAATACACTTGAAAATTTGACACCAGATACACCTACGAATCATTTAATTGATAAAAAAGTTGCATGTGACGCTGAAATTGTGCAAATGGTCAAAAAAGATGATACAGAAGATAATGAAGCTAGTATTGTTGAAAGTGATTTACCAAATGATAAAAATCATAGTTTTAGTGAAATACCTATGTTGAAGGAATTGTGTGTAGCAACAATGCCTAGTGTAAATGAAATCGTTCAAGAGGAACATGTGAAAGACTGTCGTACAACTTGTGATAATAAAATAAATGATATAATTGAAATCAATGATGCGGAAACTAGATCAGTAAACGTTATTACCATGGAATATGAGAAAAAATGTAACAATGAAACACCGACTTTAGTAATTGCTGAATTGGAACGAAAAAAAGACACTGAAGTACCGACTTTAGCAGGGATCACTGAATTGGAACGAAAGAAAGACACCGAGGTGCCGACTTTAGCAGTAATTACTGAATTGGAACGAAAGAAAGACACCGAGGTGCCGACTTTAGCAGTTGTTACTGAATTAGAACGAAAGAAAGACACCGAGGTGCCGACTTTAGCAGTAATTACTGAATTGGAACGAAAGAAAGACACCGAGGTGCCGACTTTAGCAGTAATTACTGAATTGGAACGAAAGAAAGACGCCGAGGTGCCGACTTTAGCAGTAATTACTGAAATGGAACAAAAGAAAGACGCTGAGGTGCCGACTTTAGCAGTAATTACTGAATTGGAACGAAAGAAAGACACCGAGGTGCCAACTTTAGCAGTAACTACTGAATTGGAACGAAAGAAAGACACCGAGGTGCCGACTTTAGCAGTAATTACTGAATTGGAACGAAAGAAAGACACCGCGGTGCCGACTTTAGCAATAATTACTGAATTGGAACGAAAGAAAGACGCTGAGGTGCCGACTTTAGCAGTAATTACTGAATTGGAACGAAAGAAAGACACCGAGGTGCCAACTTTAGCAGTAACTACTGAATTGGAACGAAAGAAAGACACCAAGGTGCCGACTTTAGCAGTAATTACTGAATTGGAACGAAAGAAAGACACTGAAGTACAAAATAATATAAACCATGCAATCTTGCCCGTACCGGAACTAGAATCTGCAGAAAAAGACTATATTACGTCTCTAGTCAATAATGATAGTGTACATTTAGAAGAGGTAGTTAATGATGTAGGTAAATTAAATGCCAATACAACAATTAGATCTGATGAAGAAATTGTGATAAAAGAATTTGCTAGCGAAAATGCTCCTAAAGATCTCATAAACGGAATAGATCATTATTCAAACGATACGGCCTTGCATACATATTTGGAAACAAACGGAGAAATTAACGAATTAGTAAATAATGAAACATTAAACACAACAGATTCAACTATATATTTAGACCTGCCCAGTTTGATAAAAGAGACAAGTAGTTTCCTTGAATCAGAAAGAACTATGTCTAATCAAGAAGAATTCAAAGAAGTTGTCGCAAGCACTCCCAAAGGAAGTGAAAATTCATTCGATAATCAGGAAACTTTTGCTAATGAGTGTCAATTTGAATCAACAACAGATACTAAAGTACCAGAATATGAATTAGGAACTACCCTCACGAAGTTGGAGCAAAGATGCCCTCCAGATAATATAAGCCCCTTGGAATCTCCCACTAAAAGTCACCACACAGATACTTACGATGAAAATAGTTCCATAGTCTTAGGCCCGTTTGAAAATTGTTCACTCGAATTGTTCAAAGCTGTAAAGTCAGAAATTGTCGACTTACCAAAGGAGGAACTTTTGGCGTTTTCATCCAACTTTAGCGAAATGGATCTTGAAACACCTTCGCCCCTCCGCGACGGAAACTTCCTGAACGAAGTCCCCGATATCGTACACGATGACTTAGTATTCGACGATTTGGCGACTGTGAGCGAAACCAAACCGAGTACCGAAGCTCAGAGCGACAACACTGAGAACTCATATGAAAAATCAAATACAGAGAAACGTATATCTCCATCCACGCCACCGAACTCTCCGGGAGTTTTCTTAGCGTCCACGTCACAGCAGAAGTATCTAGTAGATATCGATTTAACTACGCCCAATGAGAGTTCACCTCGTACATTTACGGTAACAGAAACAGCTCCGCCGCCATTCACACCGGATTCAGGTCTGAGCTCTTTACAAAAAGAGATTGATTTGAATCAAATAGAGCTGCAGATAACAACTAAGTTAGCTATGGCTGAGAACGAGAACAATTTGAACATAGAATATTCAGGA